AGGCCCAGTCACGAAGGGAGCAGGCCTGGGGCCTGAAGTGGTTGCATGCGCCCAACTGCTTTCGGCCTGTGTTTGGCCTGGTCCCCGTATCCAGCCCAGGGCCTGCTTCACATTCATTTACACAGGCGGCCCAGGGCCTGGATTCATTCAACCAACTGGCGCAATGCAACTGTCTGAATTTCCCCATTGCGGGGTACCCTGAAGAATGAGGCCCAAAGGGCCTGTCGTGCCTGCCTTCACTTAGGGCGGCCGACCTTGTTGCAGATAGGGCCCCATAGGGGCTAAGCGGGCGTAGCATCGCACTAGTCTATGACATACATGAAGTAATGTGGACGTGAGGGCTCTTCACAGCTTCATCTCTGTTCTTATCAATGTTGCTGTGTCTTTGCTCTTTCTTTGTACTTGTCTATGCCTTTGTCTGTTCTCTGCCTCGCATGTTCATGTCCTATTTTCTCATCTGTCAATCTCTCGCTGCTGGTCTGGTTGCCTTTCTGACATGTTTTGTTCAGCCATCGGTATTTCTGTCGTTGCCACTGTATTGCATTCTGTTTGACATTGTGTCCCATCCTGGTTATGGTTTGTTCGACTACAAGTATTTCTGGCGTTGCCGCTGTATTGCATTATGTTTGACATTGTGTCCCATCCTGTTTATCATAGTTTATGGTTTGTTCAGCGCATCGGTATTTCGGGCCTTGCCGCTGTATTGCTTTCTGTTTGACATTGTGGTGCATCCTGTTCATGTAACAAGCAGTTCCCGATCGACCTGGCGGAGTACCCACCATACGAGACGATATACCGGCACCAAAGATAAGAGCACTGGGAGACATTCAGGCAAGTCAAGGAGGAGCTTTATGGTGTGGACATGATGACTAGAACTTGATTGGATTTCTACTTCGCGTATTTGAGTTAAATCTGTTGACGTATTGATTATGTTGAGTATGTGAGCTGGCAGATTTTCGTCTCGTTTTCTTTCATTCAGAAAAAGAAAACGCTTCGGATCATGTCTACCATCCGGACCTCTGTGCAGTGTGCATCCATCTTAGATCTGGATGGATCTGGATGGATCTGGATGATCAGGATAAGACTCTTTCCTGGGACTGTCTGGATCTGGACAATCCGGATTGGGCTGATTCCCGAAAATTTGTAAAAGTTTGGGGCCTAGTATGTTGATGCAGACCGGACCAGATAGATAAGACCAAACCAGACCAGACCGGACCAGACCAGACCAGACCAGACCAGACCAGACCAGACCAGACCAGACCAGACCAGACCAGACCAGACTGGCAGAAGGTCAATATGCCTGAAATGCATATATTCTTTGCCCTGCTGAGGTACATTGGGGGATGCATGGAGGGAGAGAGAGAGAGAGAGAGAGAGAGAGAGAGAGAGAGAGAGAGAGAGAGAGAGAGAGAGAGAGAGAGAGAGAGAGAGAGAGAGAGAG